CTTTTTAAAATATTTATTACCTTTATAATAACTATTAGACATTGTTATAATTATAATAAAAAAAATAAGTTTTTTTTTAATATAAATTATCTTGTATAACGATAAAGAATGTAGTATGCGAGGCGAAATCATTGGTAATTAATAAAAACCAATGGTGATAATTTGAATAGGAAAATTTTTTTGTTCTAATTAGATACAAATAATTTTTTTGGTTATTTTCATATTTTCTTTAATAACAATGTCTAATAGTAATTATAAAGGTAAGAGTGTAATAAAGAAACAAAGAAATATTTTCACCAAACAAGAAAAGATATGAAGTTTTCGTATGACTATGAGTTAATTTGACGATATGATGATATTCAAAATTTTTTTTTTTCATGAATTTACATTAGAGTCATTTTCGGATGCTAAAAAGGCTTCGTCATTAGAAGGTAATACATGTCGTTAATTATACTCATTTTTATTTGCTAAAAATTAAATTTTATCAAATTCGAATATAGAACCAATTTCAATTGATGAAGGTAAATACAACAATTTCTATAAATATTATATAATTGCTTATTTTATGCTATTTCAAATCAGAATATATATTACTGTATATTAATATTATATCAAATATTCAATATAATGACAATATTTCATTATATGTTTCAACGTGGAATAATAAAAATATTTATCCCAGTAGAATTTTTCGTTACTTACTATACGGGTTTATAATAAGTATATAAATACTGAATATTAATAAATTTATATTAAAGCAATGCATATTGATTATATTAATTTTATACGATTAGTAAATAATACAAATTAGTAATGAATATGAAAATGCACATCAGTGACTGAATTAAATATCTTGCTAATGATAACAATTATAGACAGATTCCGCCTTGTAGTTTTGACCATTTAATTTCTTAAGGAATGTAATAAACTTGCATAAAAATTCTTCCAGTTCTTTTCAAGTATCATATTCTTTGTTAAATTAGCCTCTTTATTAAATTTATCAACCATACAAAGTCACTTTAAGGTACACTTGTCTGTATTTTTTATTCTTAAAAGTTGTTGAAGCTGAAATATTTCCTCATTTGTAGGAATAGAATCCATCCATTATGATAGAAAGATGTGTAAAAGGGAAAAAAGTAGTAAAATTGAGAAAGAGATATATTCAATTAACAAAAATTCTACCGGTGTATACGTCACATGCGTTTACGCGCATGTGACTTTTATATATAACCCGTGAATAACCTAGATATCCTTCACTACGTATGGAATAACAAGTATATATCAAATGTCAAATATGAAAATCCGAAATACAATTATTAATATCAATAAGGTTTCTTATATATTTCGAATGCTGTATCAAATATTCAACATGGAAACCCAAGGTACATTTATAAATTCAATTAGTTACGTTGTATATTTAAATATGATATAACAAATAATTTGTATTGAATTTTCGATATGAAAACCTGAGGTATATGTAGAAATATATTTCATTGAAAATGAACTGGAAATGGGACAAGTTTCCAAATTATTTACGCAATACAAAATTATAAGATTTTAGTTGAAATATACAAGAAATCATCTACATTTTTTGTATATCACCTTACTTCGACTAGTAGTACTGATATTTCTATATAATTCGTAGTTGATGAGGATGATGTGAATTCATACTTGTCCTGTATGACCAGATTTATAGTATCTTCAAAACATATCAGAGAACGTTATCTGATGTGAAATATAGTTGCCTGGTAAAACTCATTTTAACAAATGGCAAAAGTCGAAACCCTATATTTCGACGGATTTGTTAATATAGTTTTGACTTTTGTCGGGTTTCGACGGTTTTTTCAATAAGGTTTTATTATAGTTTGCCAATGACCGCGTCGAAACCGAGAGTTTTGCCAGGCAACTATAATGTGAAAGATTGAATGTTAACGGTTAGTATATGAGTTCTTATTAGCATTTAGTATTCACTTTGTTCATCCTAATTGACTTATAATGAGCAAATATAAATACAATCAGCAACGGAGTATGACGTTTGTCTTTTATCATGCATTCACTCGTAAAAAGTATCTTGCGATGCTTCTTAGGAAGGATGTTTGAATGATGTATTATTTTTTTAAAAAATTTTTTTATCGATATTATAAATATCCCTAAACGCTCTTTTATATTTAAAGGCTTATACTTTTAGTAATACCAAATACCCATCGCACATATTGTTGAATGAGTAATCTGACTTTCAACACGTTGCATTCAAAACCAGAACGTGGTAACTTTAATCTAAAGTTTTGTTTACATAATAGAAATATGCATGGTAAACTAAAATCATAATTCGATTTCAACAATAATTTAAATGTCTGCTATGAAATAAATACTTTATTATCAATAAGTTATGTAACCAACATATTGCTTATTATAAAAATGCAAAAAAAATTAAGTAACGTATATATGTGATCGTTTCCTTGTTTTTGAATTATTCTGCAAATCCATAGATCATTAATTTTTGTTACGGAAATTGTTCGATTTAAGTTATTTATGTTTTTATCGTCTTTTAAACGTAATCGTAAATTAACTAGTTTATAGAGTAGAGCTTTTATATATCAAAATAAATGATTTTTTATATCATGACACTTTTTTAAAAAATTTTTGTTTTATTTAAAAAAATGATGATTACAAAAATAATTTGCTGGATGCCAGAATTATTTTATAATTCCATATTTCCATTCCTATAACGTTGTCATTTCTGGACATAACCTTATTACAGGATTTAACGCGATAATAACCAGATTACTGAATCGATCAACTTTATTTCCAACTGTCTTGGTCAACTGGTATTGATCTTTTAATATCAGCCGGACCTTCACTAGTACTCAAACACATTATACCTTGAGAAATCGTGTAATGGAGAGGAAAGACTGCAAAGTCTTGCCAAATTTTTTTTAGTGCCGGCCAAGATGTAGAAAAAGGAGAAAAAGCAAATACAGCTGTTGAAGCGACAGAACTGAAGAGACTAAAGTAAGAGATGGAAGAAATAGAAGTTAAAGAAGAAGGATGACTACATCACGAATAGCTCTTCAAACACGAGTAATTGACAAGAGATCTTCGAAATCTATGATTCGTTTATGAATCGATTAATCGCAAATAATCGTTTTTTTCGAGTTTTGATTCTAAATTTGATTGTCGTCGTTTTCCATTAATCGATTCTAACTGAATTTGTTCATAGCGCGATTTATTTGATTAAAAAATTTAATTTTTAAATAAAAATTAATTTACAAAAAATTTTCGATTTTTAAAAACTGATACGTGTATTACGAGGATCTTATTTTGCTCCTTTAAATAATAATTAATTACAATTTTGAAAAACAAGGATATCTAACTGTAAAATAATAATGGTAAAAAATAAAAATAAAAAATGCTGTCAAATAAATAAATTTTATAATATAGAGAGCAGAGAAGAAGATAATGAATTTATTTTATACTAACGTTAATAACAAATAAGTTTATATTAATGTTTCGGATCTGATGTACATTAAGGAGAAAGAATAAATTGATTTCATTGATAGTTTGTTATATTAGCTTAATTTACAACGAAAAAAAAATATATATATTTCTTTACCATACAGTCACTTTAGGATATTAATGCGCATAAAATCAAAACACTGAAATATATCATCATATATAAAGTACTCCCGAGAGTTGACATTAGATGAAAGTGAAAAATATCGTTTCAAATTCATGGTAACCATGAGTATATGTGAAGGAAGGAATTAAATTTATCACCAAAATTGTTCTAAATCTTTACGTGATGGTTCGGATCATATGAAGTTTCGTACCCATATGATATATCTTTTTTTTTATTTGATTATTGGTTATTGCAATTACAAACAATAATTACTTATAAAAAATGGTAAAGATAATTTTCTAAACAATTTTTATTAAAATTAAGCAGGATGGAATTTCCATTAATAAATTTAGCAACCACAAATCTTTTTAAGGTAATAATAATTCTTTGATATTTTCGTATATCTAAAAAATAATAACTAAATTTAAAATAATAATAATAAAAAAAGCGTAATGTGAAATTTTTACCTGCCCGAATTATTAACTTTATACGAACAGTATCTATCCAATTGTGTGAATCTTACGAAGATGTTCTTGGAACAAAAGATAACATATTTATCATGGGTTAGTTTTCTAATTTGATTAATTGTATATGAAAATATATTAGTCGTAAAAACGAACAAAGGTGTAATGAATAAGAATTAATAATTAAATAGAAATAAATGTGGAAATAATAAAGAAAAATGCATTAATTATTAGTAAAACAAAACTAAAAGAATCAATATAACGAGACACATCTATTAAAACTATTTATATTTTATTTTGCACCGCTAATACGGATTGAATTTTAATGAAATTATTAAAAAATAAACCATTGATATTTGAAATTTAAAGAAAATATTAAAAAAAGTTAATCTTTAAAATTAATAATTTTTTTAAATTATTCAGGACAAAATAGGACTTTTCCAACGCTAATTAGGGTAGAGGTGTAGCGTACATTGTTAACCCTGCATAACAATCTGGTTAAAGCTGCTTTAAGCCAAGAAGCTCACATAAACTACTTAGGGTTGATTAACCAAATTTTTTACTTAGTTATTGGACTAATTCATTTTTCAAAATAATAATTAATAAATGGACCAAAAGTTGCGCTATTTATTATTTTCATAAAATGTGGTTATAATTGCAAGTTCCAAGTTTTTATTATTTCAGTACGATTAAAAAAAGGTAATGCCGACCAATGTTGACGCATCGACAGAATATATAAAACGCAACTCCAACTAAAATGCAAAACACATAAATTCAACCGAAAGATTCTTAAAATGTTCAATAATATCGAATGGTTTAAACTCGTGACTTCGCTTAATGATCATAATTGTAAGCAACAATAAAAATTGCACAAATGAACTTTTTAAATCTATAAATATATTTTATTAAAATTTTTATTAAGGAGTCTTAGGATATATCTTATTCTTATAAACCACCTTCCATTGCTCTGGTTGTTCGTTATTAAACTCATCAATTGCTACATAATTCGCGGAAACCAAACCGGCTTCTTCAAGTTTCATGTCGCTTCCATCCTTACCAACAGCTATGAGAGTAATCTGATTGGGCAACAAGTTAGGAAGAACGCTACCGTCATCTTCTATTTTCACATTCAAATTAATAAAAAGCCTTTGCATGCAGACGGTGAGATCAACATGGCCATTCACCAATGATTCGGGATTAACCTTACAATTGGCACATCGAGTTTCTTTACCACGAGCAAAGACTGATACGAGTCCGGCAAAATTGGGGCTACTTTTAGGAGTTGACGCGCTTGCTGTTGGCAAGTCAAGAAATACTCGAATTTGAAATGGTGAGCCAACTTTATGTTTCTTAACGGTTAAGTTGAGCTTCCAATGGTATCGCCTATTGTAAGTTGAAGAATTACAAATGATTCATGATAGAAGTCTATGATACAAAAAGTAAGTGACAACACTTACAAATATTCATTGGGATGATAATATTTTATTGTCTCAACTAAAAGTTGGTGTGGTGAGATTTCATTGCCCTCAGGAAGTTCAGGATACGTGTATCCAAGCTTCATAATTTCTCTAATAAACAAGAACGATGAGACACTTCATCTAATAAGCGAACTTATATTTATTTCACTCACCTGACTGTTTTTGAGGTCCAATATTCATCCGCTGTTTTACGAAATGGAGTAAGGTTGGTATTTTCATTGATTTTTTTATTAGGATCATCGGTAAAAGTGCCAGCACTAAATTCATATCCTTCGATCCAAGCATCGGGGTGACAAGCCTGCCAAATAGCCAGCAAGCGATCCACATTACAGTGATGAAGGAAGAAGATGGGATCAAAAGCAGAAATGTCAGGGTATGCCATATGACCACCATTTCCACCAATCGCTTCGTGAACTGCATCATGAGCGATTTCAATTGATGAATAATGTCCATTCTTTTCATCTTCCTGGTCTGGATGAACACCATGATTACTGAAGTGACGCCATTTATCAACCAGGAAAGTTTGGTAAAGAGATGGACGAAAAACAGAGTTGCAGAAAGTTACGACGTTGAGGTGGGTGGCGTCCTCATCGGTAATGTATTTGTTACTTGGGTGTCTGACCGTTGCATAACCTGCTGGCGTATAGGGTGTCACAGACCCGTCTGGATGATAAGGTCTTTGTGTTGGGTTAGATACGTCACCGACAAGTGTTAGACTTCCAAGATTTACCGGTAAAGTATATGCACGTAGGGGATTTCGAATCTTAATATTTTGTAAGGTTGGATTATCAACATGAACATATTCATCGAATAAAACCGAAGGTAATCCTTGAAAGATGGTAGATGGGCTAGCCCAATCCCAGTATGGAAATCGCAATTTCTCAAGTTCTTTTGTGTATTCCTTCGTTTCATTATTATCAGGAGGATATCTATAATAATCAAAAAGTAATGGTCAAGCATTTATTATAAGCTTTAAAGTTAATACGAATGAACCATTTGATAATTAAAAAAAACGTTATTTTACAAGTCTGGATTGTCTCGTATCATTTCTTCAGCCGCGTCATGTATAAGCATTTCGAGTAATAAAATATATGGACGATGCCAAGTTGGAAACAGAATATCACCATGGTGACAATATCCACCCCAACGATTTTTTTCTCCTTTGTAGTCAGTGAGCGGTTCCTTTTCCCCAGGTAATATGTCATAAGGTAAGTATGGGAGACCATGGATACCGGCAACCGCATAAAAGGATGTAGGATCATCAGCATTACGCTGTTGAACTGCGGAAAAACCTTGGAGGAACAGATCCCTTCGTTTCTTATACTTTGGCTGGGACATCAGCACCTCAATGGGAAGTCGGACTTCGATAGTTTCTTGAAGATTGAAATCATAACATATAAATATCGACGAATCGCTTCGTTCAATAACAATGAACTTACTTACTGAAAGGTTTCACAATAACATGCTCCCTTTCAGATGATCGGGATTTTTGCCGCCGAAAATTCAACATGTTTAACAATCACTTTGAATTAGATTGATATCAAAGTGAATGTGAGGATTGAGATTTTTTTTTGTAGAACTAAAAAGGTTTGTTTATATATCCATTTTTTTTTTTGAACAAAATTAACATACCAAATTAATAAAATCAATGGAGACTACAATGATAAGCAGAAACTCTAGCCAAAACAGGATGCTCTAAAACACCTTTTACGTTAGATTATACTGCCTTTTGGATGATCATCTTCTCACTTTAGATTTAAAAATGTCTCTATAGAATCATCAACCAGGAAATTTTGAAATGATATAAATGCTGCAACTCAATATCTGTCTTCTTGGACCTCAACAGGACCTCTTTACTAGTTCGGCCTACAAGATCATCTTCAATTAAAGCTCTGCATAAGCCAGCTTGGCTTGGCTTGCCATCGGTATTAATCAATTATGAATAAATATTCGAATATCAATTGACGATCATCACGGCCCATTTTCATAATACTTCCCTTATACAGTAATCATCATTTATTTGATGCAGATTTTAAAACAACATTTAAATCTTTCATTCTATAGATATTGGAAAATGTTATCTGAGAATAGAACCGAAAATAAGTATCAACCCCGGTGATTTTGTCACATACCATGTTAAGCCGCCGTGAACAAACTATTTACTAACTAATAATACAATAAAATGATTGTGAGCTGTACATTTGAAAACTAATTATCCTTTAACATTTTTATCAATATCATGACTCTTAATCTTTATCTTTGTTACCTTGTTTCTTAGAGTTCCACCATGGATCGCAAGTGCTGGATTTGTATCGCGTGAATATTGTATCAGGCTCGTCGATCCTGAAAATACAAATCGATAGTGGCTGTTGTGATAGAAATTGATTTTCGTCTACTGAAATTGGAATTCCAATTTCAGACAATTTATAAAAAAACTATTTTAATCAATCACAATATGCCAATTTTTTTTTTTTTTTTTTTTTTTAAATATAGTTAACTTTTAGCTATTAGCTGAATTATAATTTAATTTCGCGGCATTTATTTATTAAATTTTTTTTCTTTTATTATTTATCATTTTATTTTTTTTATTTTTTTTTTAGGATTTTTGTTCACATTCGGGCTGCTTCTTAATGTAAGTTTTTCTTTTTCTTTCTTTTTTTCGATTTATTTTTTTTTTCTATTTCATTTTTATTTATTTTTATTTATTTTAAATTTTTTAAATTTTTTTAATTTCGATTTTTATTTTTATTCAGTTTTTGGCAAATAAGTAAATTCTTTTTTAAATTTATTTTTTATTTTTATTTTTATTTTTAGTTTTATTTTATTTCTATTTTATTTTCATGCAGGTTTTTTCGACCGCTGCGTCAGTTAAATAAGCGATTTTATTCATTTTTGTTTTCCTCTATTTTTTCAGGTTTTTTTTTTTTTAAACTTCAGACCGAAGTGATCCAACTTGAAAAAAGCAAAAATATTCATTTCATTAGAAGAACATGTTAAAAACATTCACTATTTTTTTTCCTTTTTAATTCTTTTTAATTCAGCAGAAAGGAACTCCTACCTTTACGAGTTACCTGTATAATTATAATATTTTGAAGCTGAGGCGAATTTTAAAATAAAATTACTTAACTTTTTATAAATATTTTCAAATTTTAATTATAAAGAAAAGGAATCGTTTGTTATATAATAGAATAGTAAAAAAAAAAAATAAATAAAGAACAATTAAAAATCATAAAAATTTTATTAATTAAAATAAATTGCTTTTGTACAGTACATGTAGATTATAGATACTTCATATTATTTAAATTTTAATTTATAAATATATAATTTGTATAAAATTCAGATTTTATCTGAAGTTCAATTTCAGATATCTCAATTTCTTGTGTCTGAAACTCTTAAAGAGTTACACGAAAATTGACCAATAAGATTATGACTGAAATTGGAATTCAGATAACAAAAAACTCGAATTCCAACTTCAATCTCAGTCACAACAGTTGCCATCAAATGATTCCTTCATGCTTTGTTCCTTTCTTGAAACCCTGCCTCTCTATCATTTTACTACTTTCATTAATTATCCGGGTCTATAAGTTTTTTACACAAATTCAAAGAAAATAAAATATTCTATGATATTCGAAAGATACCATCAAAAAGTTAAATATGCTTCAGTAATGAAAGTTTTTTGTTATTTATTTATTTTTTTTTTTTTTACAAGGCATTTCGATAAAAATATTGTTACAAATTATCAAATTTCGAAAAATCGAAATTTTATTTTTATTTTTATTTTTTTATTTAGAGAATTGATAGTTGGTTTCTCACACATTGTGTAGATTCAAGTCTTTGGGTTCGTTTCGCAAAGGTTAATTTTTTTTTGGATGTTTTATCAGGGTAATAATGACTAACGGACTAGCTATGATATTCGGCTATCGACAGATTGCGAATATACTGAAACAGATAATAAAGGGCACGTAGATTGATAAAGTTAAAATCAGTTTAATGAGAAAAGAAGGTTGTACGACGAAAAAAGTATGTTTTTTGTAAATTTGGAAATGTTATGACAAATAACAAACAGTAATCAATTTATTCCCTTGAAAAGTTAAAAAAAAAAATATGCATATTTCAAAAAGCGCCGAATATTTTATGGTTAGCCATGCATTTTGCATGTTTATTACGTTATGGTATGCCGTAAGAATTCGTGAAAGTATTCATAAAATAGCTTGTTTTTTTTTAAAAAAAAAAAATTAACACTTTGAAATAATAAAACAAACATTTCATTCAACGGAAAAGAATTTTATTTAGGGTTTTCAAGAAAAACGAGATATTTTATATTTCTTAAAGTTTATCATGAATTCATTTAACGTTAATAATGTGCAGGTTTAAATTTTAAATATTCTTCACGTAAGAAAAGCTCGTGAAATATAAGCTAAAAATTTAGAGGTGAAATATGAAAAAATTAACGAAATTATAAATGAAATGGATGAACAAAAAACTCAACAATTCTTTAGATCTGATAACAAAACTTCCGGAATTAATGATCGAAGAACGAATTAATATAATTTCTTTAATTTACAATTATGCGTTATCCTAAAAGTTCTTATAAACTTCAAATTTGATCACGTAACCAACTTCAACGACAAAATGAAATGAAAAAAAAATAATAATAATAAAATAAATAGATACAGTATTTGCTCAAATTTACTATAAGCACATTTATTAGATTCATTATAAAAACAAGCACTATATGGTTTGTTTCCTAAAATGGACTCGTGATATCAAGAAAGTGTTGAAGAATGAATAGTATGGCAAACATTGATAACTTTTGATTATTTTGTCTTGGAATCTAAGAAAAAAAATATATATATAACAAGTGAAAGTTTCAGCATTTTTTTACTGGTAATGCAGATTTCAACTTACGGACGGAAGTAAAACCCTAGACAAAATGACGAAAACCGTTACGAAAGTTAAAAGACGAATCATGTTTCAATGCAAAATGGATTGAAGTGAGAAAAAGCTTGAGATTAAAAATGTGAGGAAGAAGAGATGTAAAATGAGTTGTGTCAAGTACAAATAAAGGTGAAAGTGCCAAGTAAAGAGCTTACAAAATATTAAGAACGGAGATTTAAAAGAGAACCTTTAAATAACGTTTGGGCATCTAAGTAATTTGGCAAATAGTTTAAAGTAAATTCATAATTTTCGTCAAAACTGGAGGAGTATTCGTTATTTTGTATTGTTTGCTTTCGAAAAATTAGAACTTTCGTCAACAATATTTATATTAAATATATAGAATAAATAAAAAATAATATATCATATATAAATTGTAACTAAGTTATTATGTAAAATTACGTTAAATTTATAATATTTTTATATTTCGCTCTACTTAGATCTACTTTTAGATTTTCTAGATTCACCTTCTTTCTAAACTTTAAATCATTTTAAATGTTAAATAATTATAATAAGAGATTGTGTGTAGTATGATTGTAAAAAGAGTTACAAATATTACAAAAATACAGACAAGTCCTAAAGCATCTTTTTATTTGTTAAACTTCAAATTGGTTATGAATTATATCAGAAATATTATAATAAATTAGTTTACTATAATCATACAAAAGGATCTAAAAGATATAACAATATCATAAAGGATACTACTTCTCATGAAAAAAATATTCAAAAAGAATTTATCTATCTTAAAAAACTAAACAACAATTCGTAAATAATGTGATTACTATAACTAGTTAGAATTACAAATTAAGAAACTTTAAAAAGATGTATAATACAGGTACTTTATTAACATCAATGAGAAGAAATTATTAATTTAAAATTCTAATAAATTTATTCACTTAATCAAAATTTGTGAGCTAAAACTTTGTAATTTTTTGATATTTTATTTAAATCTATAAATCCTGATGAAAAAACAAGAATACATAATAGCAATTAAAATAATAAATAATAATGCTTTATTATCAAATAGTAGTATTATAAAATAAACAAGTTAGTAAAACTAAAGCTGCTATTAGATTATATATTGTAAACAGAGCAATTGACCAATAATAATGGAATTATGTGAATGACACAGTATAATGATCTCTTAATCTAAAATTCTAAAAATACTAAAAATTCTGTGAATTTTGAAAATACAGAAGATCTACATAATTCTGCAAATCTTTTAAATATTGATAATTATCCTAATTTTATGAATTAAACAAAGTCTAAGAATATTCAAATTTTATACTTATACTTAATATTTTACTTTTTATATTATTCTATTATATTATATATTTTTATTATTTTACGTATTTTTATTATTTTTATTTTTCTTATATTTTATTTACTAAAGTAGTGAGTTTATGGTATAATAAATAGTTAGCCATATTAAAAGAAATTTTATATAAATAGATAGATTTTTTACTCATATTATAAATTAACTCTTTTGCAGATTTATAAACTCTTTTATGAATATGAGTTTCAATATTAATAAAGAAATCAATTAAAACTTATATCTTTCTGCCTTTTCTTATCTTTATATAGTTTAATGTGATACTTATATATTATTTGTAATTGAGTTTATTATTTGAATTCTTTAATTAAATTATTCATAATTTTATCTTTTCAAGTCTTTATATTTAATAAATTTGTTTAAATTTAATACGTATATTTGGTAAAGTTAAGAGTTAGACAAATCCTAATATTTTAATTATAATAAGCCATATTTAGTAATTTTGAGTAGAGATTTAAGGATATGACTATCTCAAGTTAAAGAATTTCATAATGACAATATGACTAATGTTAGTATATTAATAGTTAAATTAATATACTCTTTCAAACATAAGTATAAGTATAATATATCAAACAATATACTATAAAATAGTTTCAAAAATTATTGTTAAGTTTGAAATATAAATATAATAAAAGAGATTAATCACTTTGCTACTGCTTGGTTTATTTAACATGAAATATTACATATCGAATCTAAAGATATTAAACAAAAAGATACAAATTAATAAGCTTATTTAGAATTAGTATAAACTATATTATTCTTTTTGGTTCATTAAACCTCTCTAAACTGTTGATTCCTCAAGATACACAAATAATAATTATTTAATATAAAGGTTTTTTATTAAAAAAATGAATTAATATAAAGATTTCTAATTATATTATGATAAAACTATCATTTGTAGATCAGTTGTTTATCAATTGCTGATCAAAAATATTTACTGTTGATCTCAAAACTACTTTGAATTCTTAGGATTTATATACTCAAATTCTTATATAAATATCACATGATAATAAGCTTACTATTTATATCTTTCTTGCTAAATTTTTGTTTTATTTCTGCCTGTATTCCTATTATTTCTATCTATATTTTCTGTTATTCCTGCTTATATATGCTTTTCATTCCTGTTTTTCAATATCTATCTTCTCATATCCTAAATAAGGCTAATTACAATCATTTAGCTAATTATATTATTTAACTAATTATATCATTATCTATCTAACTAATTATATTATTTACCTATTATAACTATATTTATCTAATAAATATCTATTATGCTAAATTATATGATTTAACCAATATATCATTTTACGTAATTATCATTTTACTATCTAATAAATTATTTTTTTAACTATTAATTCTAATAAATTATTATTTGATAATTAGTCCTATAATAACGTATTGATTCAAATTTTAAATGAATAGACAGATAAATATTTCTCATATAACTTCTTATATATAAATAGTTGATTGCTTATATTTTAGACTAATAAGAAAAAAAAGTAAATGCACATAAATAAACAGTTCAAAAATATATTTAAATAATGTTAAAAATTTATAAAATTAATATATTTATATTTTATAAATATTTAAATATTAATATTAATAAATTCTTTTTTTTAATAAAAAATTTTTTAATTATTAATATAGATATTTATCATGATTTACATAAATCTTATTTTTAAGCATGATATCTATTAATCACATTTCATATATAAAGAGAATTACCAAAAAATTTTTTAAATTAATATTAAATCTGAATTTATTTTACTAAAAAATAAGAAGTTTTCTATTTATTATTGATAGTAATTATTATCAGTATTACAAATTTCCTTTTTTAAATGTTAGTATAATCCTATTTAAATTTTTATCAAAATCAAAATTGTCTTTTTAGATTTATATAATGTTATTTAATTTATTTAAAGATATTTTAGATGATATTATAGTTAAAATTATAAATTTAAGTCAAAATTAAAAATGTGATAAATAATATATGACAAATTAATTTTATACTTGAAAAAATTCTAAGTTCTCAGAATATATAGTAAAATGAAAGATGAAAGATATGATGTAAAGTTACAAATTATTTATTATAAGAAATCAAGTAATATCAGTGATAATCATTGCTAGTGATTTATAATAAAATTAAAAAATTTATAAAGTAAAAAATTTTTTAGTAGTATTTTACTTTTTACTATAAAACATATATATAGTAACTTTATTATTTATAATCTGAATGGTATCAATACTTTATTGCTTAAAAACACACTTTATTTGTAATATATAACTAAATTTATAATTAATTAAAATATATAAAATCTATTTAGACATCATTATAATATCAGATAAATCTAATTTTATAGAAATTTAATTATAATGCAAATTTATTTAAAAAATATGTACAAAAATTTAATGTAATAAACTAATTAATTTTATACTGACTGATTTAAAAAATATGAATAATGGCTTAAAAGTATTAACTAAATTATTTGAATAATAATACAATCTTAACTGTTTTATTTAAAATAAAATTATAATTATTAAATTATTTGTTATACTAAAAAGATTATTTAAAATATAGATATATTTATTAAATTATATTATACCTATTCTACTGATTTCTCAAGTCAGCTATATATTTAAAAAACAATTGTATTAAAACTCAAATGTAAAGATCAATACTCAATTTCAATATTCAGCTTAATACTATTTCTTAGACTTTTTGTATATTTTATAAATAATAATCACTTTAAATAAGATTCAATTAGTACAATTTGTATTATTTGAATTAGACTATTTAGACTAATCTAATCTAAGTTCAATTGCATTTAGACATTAATAGAATTTGAATTAAGTTTAAATTATCTAATATTTTATTAGATTATATCTAATAATTATATTATTGTCTAAAGATTTTGTAATATAAATTGATTGCTAGGAAAATCAGATTTTAGAAATTTTTTAGCAAAATAGAGATTTTTATTGCATTTTAGTTTTTAATATTATTAAATTAAAATATATTAAGCTCTTAACTTTAATTAAAAATTTTTTAGAATCTGATTTTTCTAGAAACTCTTCTATATACTAATATTTAAAAAACCTTTTGCAATAAAAATTTTAAAATCTTAAACACAAATTATTATAATATATTAAGCAAATATTAAAGTAAATATATATCTATTGAACTTGTATATTATACAAGTGACTGTATTATACAGAACTGATTGAGTTCAGAACTTATATTAAAAGACTAGCTTATAATAGGCAAATATTGCATCTTCTGCAAAAGGGTCATCTCTAATAATAGATCATAATGAATCAATAGTAGATACTGTATAACTTGGATTGAATAAGAGTTATAAGTTACAGATAGTTTCTAGCTAAAATACTATAGAGTCTATAGTACAATTAGGGTTTGAAAGGCCTAAGTTCAATTCTTAGGTAATTTTAACAATCTAGACATATCAACTATGTAAGGCAGCTATTCTAAATTAGGTTATTAAAGACTCCTCTTTTCAGTAATTAGTCAGAATCTATCATACTATAATAGCATTAAAATTTAACTATGCAGCATTCACTTTATATAACTTATTATAATGACTAGTAATTTTGCAGTTTAAGTCAACTTTAAAAGTAGCTAGAAGTGGCTTGATTCTAAGTACAATTACATATAGAACATATGAGTCTCAATCAAGATATTCAGATA